CGTTTAACAGTTTGCTAATCTCATCAACTCAACCATATGTACGGGATCACGCAATCGCAGTCATGCTTTTCTTTGGGTCATTAAACCTTGTGACCCAGGATCGATGTTGGGCTCTATTGTAGTTACTCTTTTACGACTGGTGTTTCCTTCTCTGACTCGAACATGTACGAGCACAAATATACACACATGTCCACACCTCTTCATATATATAAGTACTTAGGTTAACATCAAAAGAACTAACCAAATTATTCCATATCTAATATCTATATCTATATATTTTCGTTTTAAGTTTGCAGTATATAAGCATGTACGGTAAAGATTGATAGCCTCCTTAAAGTAGTGTTGACCTGAAGCTTTTTCAAGAATGGATTTCAGCTCTGAAGATGTTTGTAATATGAGGGATGAAAGCTCGGCCCTCTTCCCCCAAACGAGGAAGGATATCTATTTCAACCTAAATATAATTAAAATCAAGCATTAATAGTCTTCATCTACAGGTGAATTCTACCTACAAATTCCATCATCAGGCACTTTCACACGAAATGAAAGTCTCCACAAACATGTCTTTTTAGAAGATTCGTCGAAGACCAGTTGCTATTCGTTTATTAGATATGGATATGAGTTCCTTTAACACAGTATTCGAAAACTGGTCACGTTTTTCATTGTTCCTCGCCATTTTTGTTCTGATTATTCACTACCGGACCATTGACTAATTACTGAATAACTTAATAAATCAAAACTGATCTAAAAAATTCCGCTTTTTGGTTACTATGTCCAGAAAGTGTCAAAAACATTGTAACATGACTCTATTTTTAAGGAAAAGTTGGCTGGAAGGAATGAGTGAAATGGCCTCACAGGAACCCGAAGGATGATGGCCGCACAGTGAAGATTATTGGATTGTGTGAAGAAGTCCTCCTCCCTCTCTCCTTTGTATTCCTCTCGCTTCCTCTCCAAAAGCCCATCTATTAGCCATAAATCGTTCGTACTTAATTTCTTACGCTTGTTTCTCCTATTCACAATTTTGTCGTTTCGTTAACCCCTATATACTAACTACGTATTAGCCATGTGTTCGACCAGCTCAGATTTTTGTATTTATACATTTTTACAACCTGTTTTGTATTATGATAATCTTTTCTGGGCGGTTCGGCAGGTCTCCCCCGTAAGACTGCCAAAGCACAAAATCTAATCTAGGAAGAATCTAAACATTTTTGGCAAGGAGGCACGACTGAATAGTGTTAGCATCTCTGTATAGATTGTTCTGATGTCCCATTTTCTTAGTAGGTTATCCGATTTTTCTTCAATGTCATACAATCAGGATCCAGTACCATTATTGCAAAGTTTATGCCTATTAACAGTAGTACTACAATTTAGTGCAAATAAGAAGTTCCCTAGACTACGGTGGAAAAAGGTTTCATTAATAAACCGCTCAAGGAAATTCTTAATCGCCCAAAAGCAACATTTTTTTTATTTTGATGAGGCTGGCTGTTGATTTCTTTATAGACATTTTTAAACGTAAGAAGACGATAAACTCGGAGGGATGTATGATTTTGGAAAAGCAATTACAATATATTTCCAATCCACCATTCTGCTTCCGGGCTAATTTAAGTACTTTATCTCCTTTATTTATTGCGAATGTCTATGTTGTATGTTATATGTTGTAATTGCTTATAGCTTCAAAAATGTGAGTTTTTTCAGCAGATTTTCGTATGCCTTTATTTCTACCAGTTCTCATTCTTTAGATTAAATAAAGTGGCCTAGCAATTTAAATGAATCTCATTTAGCCAAGATGTATTCTTATTCAGATTGGACTACATTTCTACATCTTGCCTCGGTCTTATAAGTTTTCCCAACCAAAATCGAACCTAGAGAGTACAGCGCTTATTATTAACATGTTTCAACTTCGCCACATTGCTACGGGTCACAGAGCATATTTGAATGTCAAGGCAAACCAGGCCTCCCCCATATCACAATTATGGTGGAAGTATTGATGAGGCAAACTTACATTTGCCTTTACAGCCGACTATGTTGCATATATTCAATTTGGGTGGGTTTACATCTTACCAGCAGTTATTGAATAAAAACCATACTTACCCTAAGTTACTTCGCATAAATTAATAAAAGTCTGATAGTGTTGGTTTGACTTCGTTTTCGTAACTTGGTCGGAGCATCAGAGAGACCTTGTTGGAATTACTTAGTTCTCTGCCCTCTGCCATAGTATTCGCGATTTCCGGCATATGACCATTGACTTAGTTCATTCCCAGGCTTCTCGCCAGCATCGCCAATGAGAGGTGCACGGAGTTATAACTTATCAAAGTGACAAATTGTAACTCTGCGCTAACAATAGTGGCTCACTCATGATGCAACTGCGATGCCGGCGAAGAGTCTGTGAATATTCCAAGCCAATGGTCCGATGCTGGATATCACAAATACTATGGCAGAAGATAGGACTAGGTACGTTCCACAAGGTCTTCCTGACGCTTAGACTAAGTCGCGCAAACGAAGTAATACTGACACTATAAAGGTAAAGGAGACTGCGACCAAAAATCCTAACACCATTTCGATCTTCATATATACGACCCAAAGGACTGATAGTTCAATTTTCCCACAATCATACGAGTTAGCCTCAAGATGCCATTGAATTTCACTAAACCTTGCTTCCCAAGGTGGCCTGAAGTTATGGCATTACACAGGAGAGTCCTGGCTTACCTTTAAAGACACATCTTCCTTGTGACCTATTTTAAGTTATGGTAGTGTGGCGAAGTGGTAACGTCCAAAATATGCACTGCATTTATAGGATTGTGTGGCAAATCATCTATCGCTCCTTCATCACCTAATACAAGTGAAGCCAATCTCTTGACCAACTTTCTTCAGAAACGGTTGTACTATCACTACTGTTTCTGCCCAGGCCCATATATCCACCAGGTCAACGGCCTGACGCTTGGACATTTGACGACTACTATAGCGGTGGCTCTCACATGGTGCGTCCAAATAACCCCCTCTGACGACACGATCAAGTTGCTTAATTAATTTATCTCTGCTGCCTGGCCTGTCGACTTTGCTTTGCCAGGATTAGTTCAGAGGCGCTTAGAACATCTATCATCTCCTGGGAAAGTCTTAGCACGAAATATAACCATAAATATCACCAGGTGTGCCGTTAATTTCATTTAAATGAATTTGATATTGGATACGTGATTTATTATTTTGGAGACTATTTTTACTATGGGAATCTGGGTAAATAAATAATCCGTATTCGTCGATGTAAAGGTCAGGTATTTGAATATATTCATGCTCTTAATTTTCGATAGCGGAATTACTACTTGGTCTGTACTGTTTATCGAAAATACTATTAATCTATACATCTTTTCTGTAGATCTAAACATGGTCCCATGCAAGTATCGCTTTCACTCCGGCGAAAATAGCTGGCCAGAAAAGAATTCTTCCTGCGAGTCTGTAGTTTCATCTAACATTTGCTCTGTCGCTTCCTCTAGCCGGTCTGATCACTCTGGAATACGAACCATGGAACCTCATCACCATCATTTTCATATTCCATCTTCTCACCATTCATATCCTCTACCTCGCTCCTCGAGTTGCCATGCCGATGGAAATGATGTGGGAACATGTATCAACTTCATTCCTGGAAGTGAGGCAGGCAGCACTCGATCCCATGAAGCAGAGGTCACCGATAATATTTTCGATGTAGATGGTGATGGAAACGGATACTGTGAGGCTGACTTTGAAGGAGATGGTCAGCTCTGTTGCCATGTACAGGACCGTGTGCTAGCCAAGGTTGTACATACCTTACAGCAGCTAACGGCTCGCCTAGATGGTGACGCTGATCCTGGTGAGGTGGTTAGCAATTGTCGAGCCATCCAGGCTTGCATGGACACTATTGCATCAATAAAGCAGAGCCGGTCTATGCTGCTTACCCCCACAGCCCCTTCTTTCAACCACCAAACGCAAAGCTATTACCATCATCAGCAGGCGCCAAGTCAGCATTCCAAGTTAGGTAATTCTGTCCACGAACCAAATAATCTGATAGCACTTGCAGCGGCCAGGTCCGGCTCACCAAATCGTCATCCAGCGCGCCAGCTCCATATCGCCACGCCCAACAGCCTTCAGGGACCTCAAAGTCAGACACATCAGACCCAACAGAATCTTACAAAGTCACGTTTAGAGGAAAACAGGTCAAATTTGTTTAATACTCCTTCAAGCGACACCGCCGCACACCTAATAATGACCTAGTTAGCCTCTGCAATTGACTCAAATCTCATACCTATCCCAACACCCTTTGATTTTTCTTTTTAGTTTATTCCTGCTCTCATGCTTATCCTCCGTTTCCTTCTTACTCTTCCTTTACCATATAATGAGCATGAAAGATGGAATATACTTAAGGCGAGGGTATATATCTGCTATGCTTCCAAGAACCAAACATTACTTATCGTCCATTTTTCGCCTGACACAAACTGGTCTCGATATATCGGCTAAATTACCCAAGTCTATCGCAACATTTTATGACGAGACCGTGTGCTTCATAGTATATCATTGGAATATTTCGATCTCCCAAAGTGAGCAAGAAAGAATTTCCCTTCCGCCTTCTCCCCTCAATCACCTTGTGATGGCTCAGCTGCCATATCGGCAGGCCAGGACGGCCATTTTGACCTCCTGCCTTGTAAATATTCGATTTGCTCGTTTTTTTGAAAAGGAAACTTAGCAAGCTGGTGTTCTGCTCAAACGATATTTTTTCACCACCACTGCCTGAATTTCCCATGAACTATATACATTTTACCCTAGAACAGCACCCCAACTCATCTGAGCTAAATTGGCTTTGTATGACTTGGTATCTCCAATAATTTTATATTCTTATTCACGGTATTTTCTATCTTTTGAATGACCCACACTTCTATCAATTTTACAATTTGTATCCATTTTTCCAAACCTTCCGGTGCCCACTGGTTCTTTAAAGAT